CGCAACAGTAGTCGCAATGGTAACAACGAAGTGTAGTAGTAGTGCTTGTGGTATACGCATGATAAAATACCGTACCACTCGAAACTAGGAATAGTAGTACTGGAACTAACAGTAGTCGCAGTACTGGCATGAGCAGTCGTAGAAATAGTAATAGTAGAGGTAGTGATAGTAGTCGTCGAAGTAGAAACAACAGCAGTCGTACTAGTAGTGGTGATAGTAGTAGTCGTATATGTCGTGGCAGTGGTGGCCGTAGAAATCGTAGTAGTAACAATAAAATGTATAGGAACAATCGTACCAATAATCGTAACAGTCGCGGCAGCTGTAGCCGGAAAAGTAGTAGTCGTTGTCGCAGCCGTCGTAGTGGTAAGCTAATAATTTCAGCCGCGGCAGCTGTAGTCGGAAAAAGTAGTAGTAAAAGTCGTAGTGGTAGGAAGATAGTACTAGTGGTCGTAGCAGTAACAATAATAATCACAGTCGTCGTTGTCGCAGCCGTCGTAGTAGTAGTAGTAGTAGTAGTAGTCGTCGTCGTCGTAGTAGGATAACAGTAGCAGTAGCGGTCGCAGTAGCATCCGAGTAAAGAGATGCTAGTAGTTATGCTAGTAGTAGCAGTAGTAGTGGTAGTGGAATTAATAGTATAGTAGTAGTAGTAGTAGTCGTAGTAGTAGTAGTAGTAGTAGTAGTCGTAGTAGTAGTAGTAGTAGTAGTAGTAGTAGTAATTTCCGTAGTAGCAATGGTAGTAATAGTGGTACACGTAATGGTATCGGTAGTACGATTGGTCGCTGTAGTAGTAGTAGTAGTAGTAGTAGCAACACTAGTAGCCGTATGCTTTGGATGATCGTACCAGAACTCTTATCCGTAGTACTAGTAGGCGTCGTCGGCGTCGTCGTGGACGTAGCTGCAGTTGTAGCAGAAACAGTAGTAGTAGTAGTAGTAGTAGCAGTAATAGCAGTAGTAGTAATAGTAGTAGCAGAAGTCACAGTAATTAGTAATAGTAGGAGTCGTAGCAGCATCAGTCGCAGAAGCAGTAGTAGTATTAGTGGTAACAGCCGAAGCCATAGTAATGGTCTGAATAGAAGCTAATCGTACGAGTACTCGTCGAAATAATAGCTGCAGTAGCAGACGCACCAGGAGAGGCCCAATACATAGGAACATGAGTAAAACATTTAGGATTGTGTACACAGGAGAAGGACCATCTATAGAAACATACGTAAAACATCAAAGAATCGTGCTCCAGGTGAGGCCCAATCGATAGGAGCAAACGTAAAACACATGGGATTGGAGCCACTCCTGTTGCCTTCTGAGGCCTCCTGCTCCTGGGGCCTCTCGGGGCCTCCTGTTGCCTTCCGAGGCCTCCTGGCGCTTCCTGTTGCCTCCTGGGGCCTCCTGTGGTTTCCTGAGGCCTTCTGGAGCTTCCTGGGGCCTCCTGGAGCCTCTTGGGACATCCTGTGGCCTCTTGAGTCTTTCTGTGGCCTCCTGATGCCTCCTGGACCTCATGTGGTCTCCTGGGGCCTCCTGGAGCCTGTTGGAGTCTCCTGTGGCATCCTGAGAAGAATCTGCGCCCACAAGCCTAGCCACCAAAACAAGCAAACCGATCGAGACATCCTCAAAATCTGGCCCACCTGGGAGTTGAAAATGAGCGCCTCGCTCGAGACATCCTCCAAATCTGCTCTCCAAGCGAAGGATGTTGGGCCCGGAAACAAGCAAACCGCCTGAGACATCCCCACACAATGGCCGCGAACGAGCCCGTGCAAACACCCCTGGCGGCTCCCCTTAGGGCCACGAGCCTGGCCACCAAAACAAGCAAACCGATCGAGACATCCTCAAAATCTGGCCCACCTGGGGGGTGAAAATGAGCGCCTCGCTCGAGACATCCTCCAAATCTGCTCCGAAAGCGAAGGATGTTGGGCCCAGAAACAAGCAAACCGCCTGAGACATCCCCACACAATGGCCGCGAACGAGCCCGTGCAAACACCCCTGGCGGCTCCCCTTAGGGGTGCTGAAACCAGCGCCCCGCCTGAGACATCCTCACAATCTGCTCTCCAAGCGAAGGGTGTTGAGCCCAGCAACAAGCAAACTGGGTGTGAGTAAGTCTGTGTATGAGTAAGTCAGTGTATGAGTATGTCTGAGTGTGAGTAAATCTGAGTATGAGTAGGTCTGAGTATGAGTAAGCCTGAGTATGAGTAAGTCTGTGTATGAGTAAGTCTGAGTATGAGCAAGTCTGAGTATGAGTAAGTCCGACAGGAGGGGAGGAGGAAAGAGGAGGAGGGAGAGTAGGAGGCGTCCAAGTAATAACAAGAACCCCATCTTAGGATATGGGGAGTAATCAAGGAGCACCGAGCCCCTCCCCAACGAAAGGGTTCCTTCTACAACGCCCCGACTATACACGTCTGTCGGAGGACCTGGGCAGAAACAGAGAGTATGAAGGCGTTGTGGCAGTAGGTTTGGCTTCCGCCCGCCCCCCGAAGAGGCAGGAAACGGTGAAACGACTCGATCCATGAAG